TTTCACTTTTTTCCTTTTTGCTGCTTGAATTGGATAGTTCCACTGCCCTATGTTTGAGTACACTGATTCTTTCTTCTACTTCATCTGGTCTACTGTTGAAAGCCTCTCTTGTATTTTTCAGTTCAATTATTGTATTCTTCATCTCTGTGACTTATATTTGGTACTTTCTTACATTTTCTGTCTTTTTTAAAATTCTCACTTTGGTCATCCATTCTTCTCCTGAGCTTGGTCAGCACCTTTATGACTATTATTTTGAACTCTTTATCAAGTAAGTCACTTACCTCCATTTCATTAAGTCTTTCCATGAGGTGTAATTTGTTTTGTTTGGAACATATTCTACTTTTTCATTTTTCTTGATTCTCTGTGTTGGTTCTATGCATTGATAGAACAGCCATATTTTCAAGATTTGAAGGCCTCATGTAGGAGATGAACCTTACCATTAAACCCTGTCCTAACTTTTGGTTTTCTCTCAAACTGTTGTGATTTTTCCAAGTAGCCTACTTTACTTTTAATGGCTCCCAGTCTTGAGGATGTGCCTGGACCTGTCAGTGTCTCAAAGGGGAGAATCTCAGTCAGCACCTAGATTCAGGCTAATTGGAAACCAGAACCTCGAGCAACAGCTTCTGAAGCAGGCAAATATACCTCTTTTGGGGGAAGACTGGGAGATGGACATTTCTTTCTGTTTCCTGTGCACTGAGATTTGTAGCGATAGCTAATTAAGAACTGCTTTTTCTTTGCTACTGTCCTGTTGAAATCATGAATACAAGCCTTGGTGGCCACCAGAGTTGGGTGATCAATGGCTTTGCCCTGGGCAGTAGCCACAAAAACTTGGGTACCAGACATAAAAACTTAGGAACAGACATGTGCACAAGTGCCCTTCCAGAGATACCAGCACTGTGGAGCATGGCAGAGGGAAAGCGTGAAAATAGTGTGCACCATCTGAGGTCTCAGGAGAAGACTATAGTCAGCCCTTAGATATATGTGTTGAATTAGAAGCCTGACCCTCAGGCTACGGCCATGAAGATAAACTAATAGGCCTCTTTCACAGAAAGACTGAGCTCCTACATCTGTTGCCTCTCTTCCTCTACCTCTGCCCCTGTAGGGCAGTAGCCAGTTAAGGACTTTCTCTCTGTTTTTTACAGTGTTGTGACATCCAAGAGTGTAAGACCCACAGGCCACCAGGCCCAGGCAATCTAGACGAGTCCCCTGGGAAGAAGTCACAAAAATTGGGGTGCCAGGTGAGGGTACAAGCTTCTTTTGGGAAGATAACAGTGACCCGGAGCAAGCAAATGCTATATCTTTAACCATGATAAGATTATAATGATATTCTATATTTTCACATATCAGCTTTATAAAAATATTCTTTTTAAGATTTTGTTTAATCTAAATTTTCACATTTATTGGTATAATAATGTGACCTGATTATTCTTTTACTGTCTAGGATTTTCAGTGACATTGTCTTTTCATTCCTAATATTGGCTTCTTCTGAAGCTCTCTTTCATTAGTCATCCATCTTTCCAGATGTTAATCAATATATTTATACTTTTCAAAGAACTATTTTTTAGCTTTACAGTCCTTTCAATTGTATGTTTGTTTTTGATGTGAATAATTTATGCTGTCATATAGATATTTTAACTTCTTAAGGTTCATATTAGATTATTTGCAGCCATGCTTCTTTTTCTAATGTGTGTGTATTTATGGCTATGAGTTCCTTCTGTCTATACTTTAGTTATGTAGTGTTTATAGTCTCAGTCAGTCAAACTAGTATCTAATTTTGATTGCACTAGTTAAAAAATTATTTTTCCCCAACAATATTAAGATCTTCTACATATTTTGTGAATGATTTCGAGGTATATAACATTGTAATAGAGAATATACTGTTTATAAGTTTATTTCTTTGAAATTTGTTGAGACTGGTTCATATGGTCAATTTAAGAGGCTGTCTACTGATGAGCTTTCAAGGGGTGGAGGCTGGTGGGCACCATCTTTGCACTCTCCCTCTGCCTCACTCGGGGTCACTAGTATCTTCTTGGAGGGGAGCTTGTATATACTCAACTGGTATCCAATTTTTTGCAGCTTCAACCCCAGAGATGCCTCTATATTGCCTGGTTCTGGTAGCCAGTGGGTCTTACACTTGCAGTTGCCACAGAACTGTAACAATGGGAAAAAAGTGCTTATGGGATAACTCCCCCAGGGCACAGCACAGAGACAGCAAACGTAAATGTACTACCAGTCTTTCTGTGAAAGAGAAATATTAGCCTACCTTCATAGCTGTGTCCCGAGGGGCAGCCATCTAATTAAACACACATCTAAGGGTCGACTGAAGCCTTCTCCAGACATACCAAGGATGGGTGCTATCTTTCCACTCTTCCTCTGCTGAACACCACAGTGCCAGTATCTCCGAGAAGGCAGCTGACATGCATGTCTGGTGCCCTGGTTTTTATGTTTAGTTCCCCTTTTTACAAGACCGCCTAATGGAAAGGAGACAAATCTGTAATCATGAACGTCCCAGTGAAGAAAAGCCCAGGACCAGATGGCTTCACTGGTGAATTCTACCAAGCATTCAAAGAAGAATACCAGTTCTTCTCCTCAAACTCTTCCAAAAAGTAGGAGACAAAGGAACACGTCCAAACTCATTTTAGGAGGCCAGAATTGCCCTGATACCAAAACCAGAAGGGGATGCCACAAGAAAAATAAAATAACAGGCCAATGTCCCTGATGAACATAGATGCAAAAGTTCTCAACAAAAAATTAGCATACCAAATTCAACAATACATTAAAAGGATCATACACCATGATCAAGTGGGATTAATTCCAGGGATGTAAGGATGCTTCAACACCTGCAAATGAATCAATGTGATACACCACATTGACAAAGTGAAGAACAAAAATCACATGATTCTCTCAATAGGTGCAGAAAAAGCATTTGACGAAATTCAACATCCGTTTATGGTAAAAACTCTCAAAAAATGGGTATAGAGGGAACACACCTCAACATAATAAAGGCGATGTATGACATGTCCACTGCTAACATGACACTCAATGGTGGAAAAGTGAAAGTCTTTCCTCTGAGATCAGGAACAAGACAAGGATGCCCACTCTCACCACTTTTATTCAACACAGTACTGGAATTCCTAGCCAGAGCAATTAGGCAAGAAAAAGAATTAAAAGCCATCCAAATCAGAAAGGAAGAAGTAAAACTGTCACTATTTGAAAATGTCATGATATTAAATATAGAAAACCCAAAGACTTCACCAAAAAACTGTTAAAACTAATGGAAAAATTCAGTAAAGTTGCAGGGTACAAAATCAATACACAAAAATGTATTGCATTCCTATGCACCGTTAACGAACAATCAGAAAGAGAAATTAAGAAAACAATCCCATTTACAACTGAATCAAAAAGAATAAAATACCTAGGAATAGATTTAACCAAACTATAACATTGATGAAAAAATTTTTAAAAATCCCCCCAAATAAATGCAAAGATATTCCATGCTCATGGATTGAAAGAATTAAAATGTTAAAATGTCCATACTACCAAAGCAACCTACAGATGTAATGCAATCCCTAGCAAAATTTCAATGGCATTTTTCACAGAAAGAGAACATACAATCTTAAAATTTGTGTGGAATCACAAATAATGCAGAAGAGCCAAAGCATCTTGAAAAATAAGAACAAAGCTGGAGGAATCACGCTTCCTGATTTCAAACTATATTACAAAGCTACAGCAATCAAAACAGTATGGTACTGGCATAAAAATAGACACATGGATCAATGGAACAGAATAGAGCGGCCAGAAATAAACCCGTGTACATATGGTCAATTAATTTACAACAGAAGAGCCAAGAATCCATAATGGGGAAAGGATCATCTCTTCAATAAGTGGCATCGGGAAAACTGGACAACCACATAGAAAAGAATGAAACTGGACCTCTGTCTTACACCATACACAAAAACTAAATCAAAATGGACTAAAGACTTGAACGTAAGACCTGAAGCCATAAAACTCCTGGAAGAAAACATAGGGCGGTAAGCTTCTTTACATCAGTTTTGGCAATGAAGTTTCGGATTTAACATTCAAAAGCAAAGGTAACAAAAGCAAGAGTACACTACTGGGACTACATCAAACTAAAAGGCTTCTGCACAGCAAAGGAAACCATCAACAAAATGAAAAGGCAACCTATCAAATGGGAGAAAATATTTCCCAATCATATTAACTCCTGATAATATGGAGGTTATTATACTGCAGATTTAGCTTATGTAACAATCTATTTTTAAAAGATGTAAAGATTGGAGGTGAAAAAATAAAGCTATATTATTAAGAAACACCATTATCTTATATGCAGGAAATCCTAAAGATCTACAGATAAATAATTTGAATGAGTAAGGCTTCTGGACATGTCAATATACAAATGCTACTTATCTTTCTACCTGTCAGCAAAAGATAAATAGAAAAACTCACATTATGACAGTATAAAAATTATCAAATGCCTAGGAAGAAATCCTGCAAAAGCTGTGCAAGATCTCTCTCTATAAAACCATCAAAAATTATTGTGAAAAGTTAAAAGTATAAAACGTAGAATATTCATGGATTGGACATGTCAAGATTCAAAGATGTCAGTTGTTCCCAGATGGATTCATATATTCAATGCAATCCCTAGAGAGATACAAGAAGTTTGTTTGGGATAACTGATAAACTGATTCGAAGTTTTTGGGACTGCAAAGGCCTATGTTAAGCCAAGATTGTTTTGAAGAACAAAGTAGGATAACCAAACTGAATGTACAGCTACAATAATGTATAGAGTGTATTAGCGGCTCAAGACTAGAAAAATAGACTAAGGAAAAGTCGTAGGGGGTACAGAAATAGAATGATTACGTGTTTAGATGATTTGTGATAAGGGTGATCCTGCAGAGTAGTGGGAAAGTATGGACTTTTCAATAAATGGTCTAAGTAAATTGGATATCTGTTGGGGGTGGGGGGGAGAATTTTGTCCCTACCTCATACCATATACAAACATCAGTCCTAATGTCCTGGAAATCTAAAGGTGAAGGCAATAACAATGATTCCAGAAGATCACATAGAAGACTTTCTTCCTAACTTGGAATATAGGTAGACTTGTATCCCAAATAAAAATAAATCTGTTTTAACTGTACATTTGTGGTTAAAATATAAAATTACCCATCAAAATCATATAAAAGTACAATCATTAAAATCTAATTAGTCAAAATACTTGGAATTTTAACATGCTATTTCATAAAAGGAAAAGACAACGCATTAATTATTAATCTAAAGGAGTCACCATACTTTTTAAACTCTTCTTCTATATTCAAAGTAATATTTAAACCATGCTCAAAAGAATGGCCTGAGGCACTGAAAAGTTCTCAAAACCAAGGGATTTAATGATGTTCAGTATATTCTAGGCACTTGATAGGGAACTCTATTCATATTTTTATAACTAGTTTTTAAACATATTTTAAACCAGCTTTAAAAACAAATGAGACTCATTCATAATGGCAATGCCAATTGTCTATAACACATTTTTGTGAAGCATAAAAATATTAAATATACATTTACTCTAATAAGCTATAGAATCAATATAATCCCATGGACTATTTTACTATAGTATACCATAAAATAAATGCAAAGATACTATAACTATACTGTAGTTAAACAACTGTACATCTCTTTTGAAATATGTTTCTTCCGACAGAGCCATGGGTGCTCTGAACTCTGGTAAAAACAAAGCAAAGTTTTGAATTAAAATTAAAAATTTCAATAGACTTACTCTAACAGGAAGTTCACCAAATTAGTATGCTATACTCTACTGACCATTTTCCAAATCAGAACCTATGCTCTATTTTTTTAAATGCTCTATATTTTTCCAAATGCCTACTTTCTTAGAAAACAAGGCAAAGCCTTTTCCTCAACATTTTTTATTTTGAAAACTTTAAACCTACAGAAAATTACTGAATATAGTATTATAAAAACTCATATCCCTTTTTTTTGATGCAACAGTTAACACTTTGCTACTTTGTTAAGTCCCACTCTTATCCCACCTCCTTGGCTCATTTCCCACCTCTTTGTAATTTTTTGGGCAAAACGTGTGTAGTTTACAGACATTATGACACTTCACCCCCAAGTACTTCAGCAAGTATCTCCTAAGAAATAGGAGACATTTTCCTGCATAGCCATAATAAAACTATCACACCAACAAAAAGTATAGTGGACATAATGTTATCTACAATATACGCAAATTCAAAGTTGCTCAACTGACCCAATAATGCCCTTTGTAGCAGTTTCAGAATCAGCTTGTCAGTATCTACAAAAATGTCTTCTGGGAGATGACTGGGATTGCATTTAATCTTTAGCTAATCTGAGGAGAACAGACATCTTGACCATAGTCAGTCTTCTGGTACAGGAACACAATATGTCTCCCCATTCATTTAGGTGATATAGAGGGCTGAGAAAAGGACCTGACCTACCGTATGATGTAGACTCTAGTGGGGCGGTGGTGGAAGCAGGGACAGTTGAGGAGGCTATTCCGGTAATCCTAGCATGAAATGATGGTATTAAAGTGTTAGCAGTGATGATACTTTGAAGACGTCAGACTCTGGATGTATTCTGAAGGTAGAACCAGCAGTGTGAGGGTACCTGTTTCACCACATCCTTGCAGATAGAGTGTGCTGTCAAACGCTTTGGATGTTTGCCAATGTAACTATTTAAAAACGGTGTCTCAATGTAGTTTTTCTCAGAACTCTTTTATCACGAGTGACATAAAATGTAATTTTATACGTGTGGCCCGTTTGTATTTCTTTTTTGGTGTACTATATTTGTCTAACACATTTTCCTACTATTTTGTTGATCATTTACTTGTGAATGCCTAGTAACCCTTAATATGTTATGCAGATTAGCCCTTTATGTGTGATGAATTGCAACTCTCCCCCCCAATTTATAATTTATATTTTAGCCTTGCTTATGATCGTTTTCTTTGTCGTAAAGAAGACTTTGATTTTCATAAGGAAACATTCAACAGTCTTTCTTGTATAGCTAGCCAGTTTCTACACAAGTTGTTAAAGAATCCTTCCACCTTATCTTCTAATACTTGATTCATTTTATTTTATTTAATTTACATTTAGACACTAATCCATTTGAAGCTTATCCTGCTGTATACCATGAAGATCTAACTGTCTTTTCCCAGATGGCTACCTAATTATCCCTATGACATTTACTGAAAAGGCCAGCTTTTCCACGTGCTTTCAAGATACTGCCTCTATTATACTTAAGAAATTGTAAATATTTGCACCTATTTCTGATTTTCTCTTCTGTTGCTTGGGTCACTATGGCCCATCATGCACCGAGACCACTGTTTAAATTATTGAGGCTTTACAAAAGGGGATTGAATACCTGGCAGAGTAGCTCCATCATAACTGCTTAAACATTTTCTGGCTATATATGCTTGTTTAGTTTTCCATATTAATTTCCGAATCAAGATAACCAAGCTGAATTAATAGATATATTGAAAAGAGAATGCAAAATGACTGGTTTACATTTATTTCAAGAATGCAGTTTGAATTAGCAATCAAAATCAGTACAGTTCACCACACTAACAGAATAAAGGAAAGAAATCATGTGATCCTATCATAAGATGTAAAAAATAAATTTTAATAAAAGTTAATATATATCATAAATATAGGCAAATAAATTACGGCATGTGAATAATATTGTGCTAATTATGTGAGAAACCCCAAGGCATAAGACCAAATTAGGATCGTGATAGATATGCTTTGTAACATTTGTTTTAAACTTTCAAAGAGTAAGCATAGCAAGCATTAGTTCCCAACAGCACATTTATTACAGGCATCAGTGTCATTTAAGGACATGATTATGGAGTTCACCTAGGCGAAGTGGCAGCAAATGGACCCTGCTCAGAGGATCCGGTACAGTGATGTAATTCTTACTGGCTCCTAGTTAATATCAGCCCTGATATTGGTTCCCATATAGTGAACCTGGTATGTATGGGGTTAAAACTAAAAGCCTGCATTCCCAGTTCCCTGGCTCTTTAGTTACACTCGTATGCAAATGTTTGTTTCTTTACCCTCTGACCCCCTGAGCTTTATAACCAAACAGAAGCTACAAATTGTTCAAGCCAAGATGGCCTCACCCCGGGCTCCCACTAAAGTTGTAGCTGATCCCAGGACCTTGAAGTCCTTTTACAGAGAAACTAATGTCCAGGGAATATCAAGAAACCGAAGCTTCCTGGGCCCAGCTTCTCGGCTTCCTGACGTCAGAGTCTACCTTCCACCATGGAGATAAACAGCCAAGGACGGGACGCTCATCTGACAAACCCTTTCTCTCCTCCACTGGAAGCAGCCCCAGACACAGGCCGACGGGAAAATGCTGACCAAGAAGTCCACGGCCCCCCTCCCTTACCTAAAACCCCAAATAAAACCCCCTACCCATTTCTTAACGGGGGGCAAGCAACTTTTGGGGCACTGGCCCTTGCTTTGCTCCCTCTGCCTGGCAAAGTAAAGGCTTTCCTTTTTCTCCCAAGACTCTGTTCTCATTATTTGGACTGGCCTCAGGATCAGAGATCAAACTTTCTGTACCAACTTGCTGACCCAGGTGGGACCTGTGGGTGGTCCTCACTGACCCCTCAGCTTGGATCGGAGCCTCCTCAGTCATACACCCCTCCTCGCCCCAATTGGGGAGGCAGAGGGTTGGAGAGGGACTCAGGGGAGGGACCAGATTGCGGGGGAGTGGTGTGCTCAGTTGGCTGTACTTGTCGAATCCAATTCTGCTTCCTTGGTCAGACTCTGCAGAGCGTCCAGAACTGCTGGCGGGGCTGCTCCAGCAGCTGCCAAAGCCCGTTTTGCTTCGGCAGCCTTCCCTCCTGCTTCCTCCCCTGGGGCAGCCATTTGGACCTCTGGTTGCCAAGGAAACTACCTTGGGAAAAAAGAAAAGTGCACTTGGAATCGTGATGCCTGGCCCAACAAGGTAAGTCTCCCAGTGTGTACAACCGAGGTCCCTCGTACTTGCTCATTTGGGAAGATCTGAAGGCCAGGTCTTCATTTCTTGGGCACCCCCCTGAGGGTAGGACACAGGCTAAGCTGGGACTGGAAGCACTTTGGGTTTTGGCTTTTGTTTCTTTGTATAGGCTTCCGTTGGTGGCTGAGGGCTCTTTGGAAAAGCGTGCTTGTTTGGTTTGGCTTGGTTTGGTTTCTTTGGTTGTTCTTCGTCTGTCTGTTTGTCCTCTTCTGTGTTGATATGGGAGGCGCCACATCTATTCCACCTAAGAGTCCCGTGGGAAAGATTTTGGCTGATTGGTCAAGCTATAGTTATAAGCCGGTGGGAGGAAAAAAAAAAAAAAAACAAATGGTATTTTATCGTAACACCGCCTGGATGATGTATGTCTTGGAAAGTGAGGAAAGTTGGCCATTGAATGGAATTTTGAGTTATTACACCATCCTGCAGTTGGAGTTGTTTTGTGAGAGGTCTGGAAAATGGGAAAGGATACCACAGACGCAGGCTTTTATGAGATTGCATAATCAGGAAGGTGACCAGCCAGGGACCAAGCTGATGGCCCAAAGAAAAACCAAGCCTTTGGTAGTCAAAGATGCTCAGACACTGGAAGAAAAACTTGATGAGGACATGGTTGTCCTAAGTGTGCTGAATCCCTTTAATCCTAATTTAAATGTGGCACAACAACAGATGGCAGGTGCCCCCCAATGCCCCGCTGCAATCCCAGGTGATGGGAAGCGGAAGGGAACCCCCATGGCGCCCCCTGTGCATCCACCCTTACTGGACAAGAAGGTGGTGGGAGGGGCCGGACGCCCAGGGAAACCCCCTGGGTATGAGTCAGGAGCAGGAATGGTCTTCCGTTCAAGAACGCACCAGGATACTCCTTTTGGCCAGGGGTCTTCTGGAATGCGGGCAGGGCAATTCCATCTGCACCAGCTGCCCTTAGGAACAAACAGCCTGGGCAACTGGCCACCTGCTATTGGACTTATACCCCATTTTCAACTTCTGATTTGCTAAATTGGAGAAACCAAAACCTGTCCTACCGAGAAGATCCACAAAAGATGACGGATTTGTTTACAACTATTTTTTTTTTTACTCACCACCCTACTTGGGCAGACATTCAGTCTTTACTCAGTATAATGCTTACGGGCGATGAGCAGTGCCTTGTAATGATAAAAAACAAAGAAGAAGCTCAACATTTACATGGTGAGCATCCCAATCAAACTCCCACTCCTGATGTGGCCATACCCCAGGGAGAGTCTATTTGGGACCCAAACACAGAGGCAGGAAATGCATTACTAAATCATTACCGGAGGTGTATCTTGGCTGGACTTAAAAAAGGAGTTCCCAAACATATCAGACATATAGAAAATATACTGACTCAGACCTGGAAGCCCCCCCAAACCTCCAAGTGGTCAACATGATCTTTATTGGACAGAGTGCCCCAGATATTAGAAGGAAGCTCAATAAGGTTGAAGGGGCCGTAGCCATGAGTTCTGGCCAATTGGTGGAAATTGCTTTCAAAGTCTATAATGCTCAAGACGAGCATAAAGCCAAGCCAGTCAAGGAGTTTTACACAGCTCCCCCAGTTGAAAGAGACAGAAAAGGGGATCCAGGCCCAGAGAGGAAGGAGCACTGGAAAAATGAGTGTCCTAAACTAAAAATGAGAAGAAGGCACAAAAGAGAAAAAGTAGGGTCCGCCAAAGAAGCTCATGACCTCTTGAGTCTGAAACTCAGAGGAAGAAGACAATTGACAGGGCCAAGGGGTCTCTGCCATGCTGGTGGCTCCCATTCCAATAATCCCCCATGAGCCCTGGGTACAAGTGACAGTGGGGACACAACAGGCTGACTTCTAGTGGATACTGGTGCCACTATTCAGTGTTAAACTGAAAAGTGACGTCATTAAGTAATTCCTCACTTGCCATTGTTGGAGTCACTGGCAAAATTCAACAGAGACCCAGGCTGCAACCACTGGAATGCAATTTGGAAAACAAAATTTGGACTCATAACTAGGGAGCTTTGTATTACTGTACCTGATTCATGGCACTAACTTTTACAACAATAGCTGTGGGAATTCTGTGTACGATATTTTACCTCCAGATGGTATGGCCAAAATTAAGAGCTCCATTTAATTGGCACAAAGTAAATACATGTATATATATATATAAATTCTAAATGTAGTAAGAACTAGCCCAAAGACGTTTCAAGTTGCTCAACATGATACAAAATGATCTTTGGTAAATAAAAGCCCGTTTGAGTTTACTGGTTTAATTTAAAATGGGCATGTCCTCAGAGTTATCAGCCTTGGATAAAATGCAGATGTACAGCCTGGGTTTACTGGTCAAATGAGCTCACGTTCTCTCTGTTACAAAATTCATCAGCAAAAAATAAATAACATGGTATAATAGCTGATCTGTTATATGCCCCATGAGATTTTTGTAGATGATCTAAATATAATCGTTAAAGACAGGTAAACTAAGTAAATGTAAAAGGATAAAAGTTTTTGGAAAAGCTTTTTAAGATTAATTATATGTATTATGGTGTATGTACTTAAAACAACTTAAGATGATGGTTAACTGCTTTAATGTTGCATGAAGTTATTAAGAGTAATTTAAACATAATTGTTGAAACTGGGTAAGAGTTTTTAAGTACAATAAGTATGTTTCATAGTCTGCATACTTAAACAGCTTCCAAAATATTTTTGAAAACTTAAACTTTAGAGATGTACTAAGTTAAATTAAACAATAAAAGTTTACTGGGTATCTAGGTCATTTCCACATAAGATAAAATGTTAAAAGATGATTACTAAGCATAGATTTGTCTGCCTTTGGTTTCTTACCTCAAAGAAACTAAAAATTGCTTAGGCTTATTGATAAGCATGTTTTATGTAGGCTAAGGAATTTTCTATGAGAAGACACACATTTCTAAGGGGTCTGTATACAAGGAAAGTAAAATGTATGTTTTCAGTAAATAAGGTAAAAAGAATAGAGATACTTCTGTTAGTTTTGTTTAAAAAGATAAATTTGTCCCACCCCCCCCACCAAAAAAAACCAGGGGAAAAAAAAAGAGAGGAAAGAAGACATGGGACAAATTCTGAACGTGAAAAGTAAGTGACAGAACATTTGTGAAAGTAAAACCCTGAGGAGTTTTGAGTATGGTCATGTTGGCTGAAACTGAAATAAATTTATTAAGTAAATAAGTTTCAATATCAAAAATAAGCTGTGGTGCAAAGTTAAAAGTCATTTTCTTTTCTCCTCTCCTAAAAGGGTAGTTTTCTTAGGCTTTTTATCTGCTCTTGATAAAAAAATAAATAAAAATTTTTTTTGACTATTTTAACTCTGTTTGCCCTTGACTGTTCCTGTTGTTACTTTGAACAGATGCCTGAGCATAGTTTTGCAGTGAGTGTTGTTTCCTATCTGAACACATGTTTTAAACCTTTTAATATTTCTGACAAGTTGCCCTCACCCACAAAAATATTCAAGTCCTAAATAAAGGCTTTCTTTTGACCTGGAAGAGGAGGGAGAGTTTGTCTGGGAATCCTCAGAGGGCCCCTGAGACTTCTCAAAGAAATTTGCTCTCTTCCTATGAGAAAAAATACTAAACTAATTAGGCTTATTTGGTACGTTAAATTACATGGAAAGCATTGTCAAATAAGTACTAATGGCGATCTTGTCAAGATGGGAGCATAGGCAGACTGAACTCATCTCCTCCCATGAACACAACCAGGTTACGACTATTTTTGGAAAAATTACCCTGGATAGAAAACTGAAAGCTGGATAAAAAGAACCCCCACAACAAGGGACAGTCCTGACTAAGGCAGAAGAGGCATAAATTCCTTCTGGAGAGAAAAAAAGCCACCTTCAGGAGCAGTGGAGTTCCTCAGCCAGCCAGGCGGGAGCCACCCTAAGGTACACAGCCCTCCCTGGAGAAGTGAGGTCCTGAGCAGGGGCCTGATAGTGCTATAAGAATCCTTCAGACTCAGCACAACTGAGACGGGGGTCTTACTAACTGGCTTTGCTGGCTGTTAACTGCAGTGGGGAATACCCCAGAAAAGCTATCGGATGAAAGCCAAAACGACCTGGGTCCTAAAGGGCACATGCACAAACCCACCCGTCTCAGCAACCTAAAATCACCAGAGAGAAGGCTGACAGTCCTTTGGTGAAAAGAGACTCACCTGGTGGGCTCTGGGTGCATCTTGGTGACAGGGGAGACCTCTCAGGAGATTGAGACATTGGTGGTGGTCATTGTTGCCACCTAGTCCAGGTGTGCTGACACAGACAAGCAGATGCCATTGAGGTTCTTTCCCTGGCCTGTTAGCCCAGGGGTCTGCCACACCCACTAGAATGTAGATTTAATCTAGTTCAGCCAGGGCAGGCAGCCCGCCCTAGGGACAGGATCTGCCCAAAAGTAAGCCCTCAGGCTACTTGATGGCCTGCATTGACTGGGTGCCTTGATCCTCTACAGGCAGGCGAGTGTGTCTGCCTCTGTGGGGCAGGGCCCATGTGAGGACCAGGTGAACTGTGGGGGGCATTAGTGGAGTGGTGGGAGCCTCTGCAGTGGGGCATCGGGGTACACTCCAGGGCATTGGGACGTGTGCACAGACCAGGACTGTGTTGATGGTGTGTGTGGTCCTGGGGGGTGGGGCGTTGAGGCTTATCAGTGGCAGAAGGCCTGTGCTTCACAAATAGCCATCAAAAGGATCAGCCTCACCTTCCAGAGCCTGAAACAGTTGAGTGCTCCTGTGCCTAGGGTCAGCCCCACTCAGCTGCACCCCTGAGAGAACTGACAACAGCCTTGTAGGCCTGAGGCCTATAGCGACTGTAAGCCCCTGAGCCTAGCAACCAGCTACACTGGGTACCTACCCAGTTAACAGGAAAAGTGTTACAGGAGAGTGCTG